GGCCTCTCTTATCTTTTTAAGTGGGAGAACTTGCACAATTGGTGACTGACTAAATACTTATTTTCCCCACTGTATTTGTATTAATCATCTTAGGATTGGATAATTTTAAGTACTGTAAAATGTTCATATTTTATCCTGGTTTTCAGTAGAACAGTCTGCCTAGATTTGGTTATGTTGTCTTAAAACCACCTGCAATTTTAAGCGATTCTAATAATTTTATGAAGATTGATGTTCAGATGTGCAATTCAAATTTTTAKTAGTGTTTCTATGATATCATAAAACAAAGTGATTTACAAGAAATGGCTTGAACATAAGCTTACAACATATCTAGAGTTTTATTTGAAAAAAACTGAATATTGTCCTTTTCTGATATGAACAGGAGTTACAACAGTCAGACGTTTCCCACCGTCAAGTGACCACTTTTTAATGAATCTAGATTGTATCTTTGTTTTAAAAAAATAATTTAGTTAAAGCAAAAAAAAAGGCCTTCATGTTGCGAGCGGCTTGTAATTTTGAGCACCAAGAGGAGGGTGGRGTGAGGAGAGTTGGCTGTGTGCTGCCAGTCATCTGCAGCCCTTCATTTTCCCTGCTGCGTGTTTCAGTAATTAAARCTGCTGTGATGGCCACAAACATCGAAAACAACTTCATCACTTGTTATAGTCGAGAAGAAACATGATCTGACCAGTGTAGTAAACATTTTGCACTGGTTTAAGCTCAGATTTGTTTTCTCTTTGTGTTTTAAAATCTGGAGGATAAGAGAACTGTTTAAAATTTGAATATTTAAACGCAGATATAATTTGTTCTGAAGCAGTCCTGTCAGCTCTACAGCCCTGAGCTGCTTCCTCCCTAATGATTTTCATATTTTATCTCGTCTGTATTTCCCTGTAGGAGCACTGTCCCCTGGCCTGGGGCAACGTCAACCTGTTCGACTACACTCACACATTAGTAGCAGGAAAGATGGCTCTCAACCTGTGGCCGGTTCCACATGGCCTGGAGGACCTGCTCAACCCCATCGGCGTCACAGGCTCCAACCCAAACAAGGTAAACAATTGTTGAAAAATAACACTCAGCCGATTTGATTCTGGGGCTTTTAGATTTGTGCAGATGTGGGGATTAGATGTGGAAAACTTTAGTCCTTATTTTTCTGTTGGTGAAGAGTTTTATCTTGTGAATATAGCAGCTTCAGAAAATATTCATGATGTTTTATTGCAGCTTTGTGTAAATGTATTTTTTTATACATATAATTGTCACCTCAAAGCCAGAAAGTTCACTTCTTGGTCTGGGTGGAGATTAAATGTCCTCTCTCATGAGTGGGTGCTRCAAGTACTGAGGTGTCCTCCCTCAGACCAAACAACATGCATGTTTGGTTCATTCACAACTCAGTTTTGAGGTGTGAGTGAGTCGGAATTAGGGCTGTGTGATTATTGAATGAGATTATTGATCGAGAAAAAATTCAGGTCGATCACGGTGAKCAGCTGTGAGCCTCTTCCTCGATCAAACATGACAGAAATGTGCGCGACAAYAGCCAATCAGARTCCGYCTCCTGCTCCACTTCCGTTTATAAGTTGCTGARGAAACRCAGACGGAATCGCAGAATTAACCAAAGTAATCCAGTACCTGCYGTTARCTGCTAACAGGCGCGCAGGGTGAGCTCTGAGCTGCCCTCCTKACACACAGAGAGAGGGGAAAAGAAAAGTGAGCCGTGATGCGCTGCTCGCTAAAACAAAAGCATCCTTCAAAAATATGAAGCGGTCTTAGGGTAACGTTCAGGACAGAACAATGTCCCACAGCGGTTCTTCATTTATCTGGAGAAGAACTTTTCTGTAGTTTTATCGGCACACGATGGGCTGGACGAGATGTGAAGA